AGCAGGAATAAACCATGCTGTGAAATCAGGCCTGGTTGCTGGGCTGTGAAGTTACAGCATGGAGATGAACAAAAAGAAGCATTATGCTGCTCGTCCAGCTGGACCTACATAACTAAGTGGTCCTACAGTGTGGAGTTGCAGAAGGGCACGAAAGGGTAATGACGGATTGCCTGATGTCCTGTTTTTTGGCAAGCCAGAGTCCATTTTAAGAAAGCAGCAGAGATACCAGCATAGAAGTGATGGGAGAGGAAAGAGCATAGTCTGTAAAAGGCATTTTCAACTTAATAATTTCCTCTAGCTCTGAGTTCACAGGCTGGCAGAGCAATTGTATACGCAGAAGCCAGGGCTGTGGTGTGATTTGGAGATATTTCAGATTTAGAAATCATCTCTTCAAGACCCAGAGTGTTTTGTTCCCTGAAGGAAACAGTTCTGGGATCTCCATGGAGCCCTGGTCCTCCCCAGGAGGGAGCCCAGGGGAAAAGCATGTTAATAAAGACCCTAAAGTCTCCCTGGCTGAAGCCTGGCTACTCGGAGAGCCCAGAAGAGGATGCATAGCACTTCCCAGCCATGTGCAAATGCAGATGGGTAGGGAAATCCTGTATCTCGTGGGCCATTTCAGGAGTCTTAAGAGACACATGAAGGATCCTAATTGCCCTGTGTTAATTTAGGCTGGACATCTGTTTCCTAATCAAAGCTTGCTCTCCCAGCAGCAAGGCTGCCTTGCCAGGCATCAGAAAAATGCACAGGCGAGGGGAAAGGCTGGGCCTGTCCTCAGCGATAACTGCCTTGCAATCCACTTCCAAATCTAAATTTGTAGAAATACGAGGAAAAGACTTTCAGCCAGAAAACATGAGTATTGAGCTAACTGTTTGATTCTTTCAGCTTTCAACTAGATTTGTTGTAGTCAATCTCCTGCAATAAGTCAGGGAAAACATGCTAGGTAGAGCATTTTTCAGTATTGTCCTAATTATACTTAAACATTTTGAAGGTTTATTTAAAAAAAAAAAAAGTCTGTTGTGAAATTTTGATGGAAACTAAATTTTCACTACACAAAGGAAACAAACAGTTTTCTTTCCAGCTAAGTTAATTGAAAGCTTGAAATTAAAAGACAAGCTGAATATCAGCAGCAGAGAGAGCTTCTTCTCACATCATTGAAAAATTCATTTAATTGAAAAATTACATATATACAAGGAATAAAATTTGCTTTTTTATTGTGGATTTTCCAATAGGTGGGGATGCCTGAAGTAGTTAAATACTGGAATTTAACAAGTAGAGGACACTTCCAAACTGCACACGCTGTTTGCACACTGTGTTGATCTGTATTCCCAGAGATTTTTTTTTCCTGTGCTGCTGGTGATTCAGGTTATGCAAAGCCTGGTAAAATCGCTGTAGTGGATACTGAAAAATAGCACTTTCTCAGTATGTATCAAGGACAAAAGCAATTTGCTGCTTTTTTGGTTTCCAGACCTCTGAGCTACCAGAGTAGTTCACGATCATAAGCCACACACAAAGATTTTTTCCTTTTTGCTGGCTCTCTGTAAGAAGTGTGTCTTCTGCTATAATAATGTATCTGGCTATGAGCTGGAGAGAGACAAGTTTGCCCCTTGCATGGTCTCTGATGGCCTTTTCAGACAGCCCTGGCCTTTTGCTCCTTGTATGAAAGATTTGTCCAGCCAGTTCCCTGGCTGCTGGCTGGCGCAAGGCCACAGCCCATAAGTAGACTGAAATAGACTTAAGCCATTTCCTTCCTTATTTTTATAATAATTTTCTAAAATCAGTGAATCGGTTCCTTCATCCTTATGGGGCTTGAGGGAGTAGCTAATATGTCATTGTGCCAGGTTATGTGTGGGAGAGAATAAATAAATCAAAATTTGACCCGTGGATCCATCAGGTATTCCTCTATGACTTCTGGGCTGTGAGGATGTGCTGGCTGCAGCAGCAGCGCTATAGATTAGCTCTTCGTTGCTGCTAGATGCTCCGATCGTATCGGTGAAATATATCATTCCAGTGCTTTGGAGGCTTTAATGGAAGCAGCCTGTGTAGCAGACATGCAAGAGAGTTTTAATTTTGTCTGTGCAATTACCTGTTTCTTCTGGGTGGGTCTGACTTTCTAATAGGATTGATAAGGTCTTTATTCTGAAGCATCCAAAGTGAGAATGTCTCACTCTCACGGACACTTTAAAAGAGTGTTTTATCCTCTCAGTATATTATGTTGCTTAGCTTTATGGTAGTAATTGATTTGTTTGCTTGTTTGTTCTGTGGACAAATTAGAAAACCTGGTGTTGAAAATAATTCAAGCAAAACTGAAAATTTGTGATTTGCCTCTTTTCTTTTTTCTTTTCTTTTTTTTTTTTTTAATTGCTCATTTCTGATATTTCCATGTAAATTCTGGAAGACTGTTAAACCACTCCAGCTAAAGACAGAGCACCAGCATTCCCTTTGGGCATCCCTACGTGGAGCTTCCTGCAGATGTCTCATTGAAAATAGGGTTGGACATAAATTTACTGTGCATGTTTGTTAAACGACTCCCCCTTCGACATTTAAGGATTGGATTTGTCAAAATTAATTTCTGGTGGAAACAGGATTGACTTTGAATCCGGAATAACAGGGACCAGTTAGAGCCTGTGCAACAGCCGCTCTGCAGCAACTTCTGGTGATTTTTGCCATCTAGTGGCTAAAATATTCTTACAGTTTTCTGGAATAACCAACCCTTGGCTGCTGCCTTCGTTTCCTTTAATCTCCTGCTACTCGAGCACAGCGGAATTGAGCTGCTCTTGTAAAACATGCACGTTTCAGTGTTTGTTTTTTCAAGCGGAGGGGGATAAGAAGAACAGCAGAGCTTTTAGAGGAACAGGGGAACCAAGGGGAGAAGCTCACTGGAGTAAAGCTCACCCATTGTTTAGCATTCTTGCTCCGTAGATTGCAAAATACTTTCCAAAGTGAACTTACCCAAATTTACCCAGCGCACCAAAGCTGCAAAGGCAACCCTGTCTCTCTAGGGCACTTGACCGCTAGTCTCTGTGGCTCTCCTCTAACAGGATAAACGTTTACAGAATGCATCATTTGAGAGCTTGGTTTGATTTTTTTTTTTTTCTCCCAGCAGAACCTGTCCCCTGCTTTCAAGGCAGAAAATGCACCCTGTATTTGAGCAGAGGTGCCTTGTTTGGCACTCCCCTGCCACCACAGCATAGGTATGAGGAGTAGTGGGGAACCACTGCATCTGATCATCAATCCGTTTTACCCACTCACTGTGCAAAATTATCTCGTAGTTGGTTCAGGAGGGGGACTGGATTGGAACGGCATGGCATGACAGCACTTCAAAATGAACTTGTCCTAGCTGCTCTCTGTGTTTGCTTTCTCTTTCATTGTTTTTGGACCTTGTTTTTGCTAGAGACCTGGGATGTTGCTGGAGAGCAGGCTACGCTGAGCAGTTCTATGTGACACGAGGACCACCAGGAAATGTACTGTAGATAGGGGTCTGGTACCTTCTGCTTCACAGTCATCAAAAGCTGAATTTATGGCACCAGACATGTAACTAGCAAAGCTCTATCAGTAGCAGTGCTTAGGTCACAGGTACACTCCCCAGGTACACTCTTTTTTTGTTTGTTTTAAACTGTAGGCTCAATGGTTTGGGCATTTTTTCCAGTACTTTGCATTTAGAGACTGGTTTAACTGAGTAATTCAGAGAGTCCCTTTACATCTTGTACACAGGAAGGTTAACCAGGCTCTTCTAACCGGAAAACCACAGCTCTTTTTTAATTTTCTTTCTTTTCTACCTTTGCTTGGTGAATAGAACTGTGAAGTAACTCCACCTTCCTTTCTGGTAGGTTTCCATTTTAACATCAGTATGATCTACAGTGTTCTGTTCTTATTGTAATTTTAAAAAATATTCTTTCTGAAATTGAGAGAAGTCTCTGCCAGATGAACTCTACAGACCACTTTCCTGCAGTCCTATTCACCCCCTGCCTCCAGTAACTTAGATCCTGATAACGTGGCTGTGAAACCAGCCCGATGCCAGTCTCCGCTGAGGCCACGGGTAACATCTGTCTGTCCTCCCACCACACAGGGAAGACCCAATGTGGTTTTACCAACATTTCTTTCTGTGAAGCCCAGTGGTGGTAGCAAAGTGGGGGGAAACAAGTTCAGAAGTATCTGGTCTCAAATGATTTGCACCTGGGACTCTCTCTTCATTGCGAGAAAAAAAAAAAAAAAAAGAGAAGGGGGAGGTGTTGTGCTCTTTTAAGAGGGAGGTAACTAAGTCACTACCAAGTTCTAGGCCAGGCACATAGCAGAGTATTTCACATGAGAATAACATCTAACATTGCTTAGTGGGGTTAAAGTGAAAACATCAAAACATTATTTTTG